CCCCCCCTCAGTCCTGCGCCCGGGGCAAGTGCCCCCCCTGCCCCCCCCGGTTGTTACGCCACTGTAGGTAACTACAAGAGGGGTCCTGGTTGGGTTTTTCTTCTCTTTGTACTGTAGCAGTCTTTCCTGTAGTGTTCTTAGGGCAGATTCATTTTTTTTTAGAATAGTCTTTTCCCTATAGCCCTTTCGCCGAAATGCATCAGCCAGATTGCTCAGGTGTTTGTCTCTGTCCTCAGTGTCAGAGCAAATGCGGTGATATAGGATTGCTTGGCTGTAGATGACAACCTGTTTAGTGTGATTAGGATGGAAGCTGGAATGTGCACTAACCCAGCTTCCATCCTAATCACACTAAACAGGGTGTCATCTACAGCCAAGCAATCCGATACCACCGCATTTGCTCTGACACGATTATATATATATATATATTCACATTGTGCCAAGCTGGGCCAATATATATATGTTTGACTGTATTATTGATGGCTCTTATCCTCTTCAATGGTAAACATGTAAGGCTAATATAACTCATGAACCATGTGATCTAGATAATGCAATAAAGACTGTCTCATCTGCATAAGGAGTAGGAGCAGCTAAAGAGATTTAACCATTTTGTTTTCTAGGTTCAAGTTTTACGAAATGCCGGAGAAGAGGTTACACTAACTGTTTCGTTTTTAAAAAGGGCGCCGGCTTTCCTTAAATTACCGATAAATGAAGACTGTGCTTGTAAGTGCTGTTAATGCTTTTGGCTTCTGACGCATATTAAGGCACTCTATATAAATACTCATAACCTTTCTGCATGTGCAAATGTAGCTCATGTCATGCTAAATGGTGGGGAAAATGCAATGCATTTGTCAAAGACACTGAACACTTGACATGTGTAGTAAGGGGATGATATGAGGTGAGTCAGAAAATTACAGGAGAAAGACATGAAGGAGTAAAATAATTACAGCAAGGAAGAGAAGAAGGAGCACAGGGAATTTTTAAAGAGGCCATGAACGATAGTTAGACGTATTTCTGAAAAGAGGGGGGAGACACATGAGAGAACAGGCAAGTGAAAAGCATGAGAATGTTTATGAATCTGTAGTGCATAATTGTATTTTCTGCTTTACGGAGTTGATCAAGTCCAGATCGACATTCTGGGAGGGAGATTTAGATTGCACACAGATGATTGGGGTTCGGTGTTGTCATTAAGCCACTCAATGTGACTATGTTGTACAATTTCTCATATTTTGCACAATAAAAGAAACCTTGAAACCAAACCACCTGTGTGCGATCTACATATTTATGGAGTTTTATGTACCTGAGAGGCAAGGCTAAAAAACAGAACCGAGCCAATGAGCCAGCCTCCATAGCCACATCAAACAATGCCAACTCAGGAACATTGAAAGAGAACTATGGGGTAACCTTTTTATCCCTTAGCTTTCTTTGGGGTCACATGAGGACATATATTAACGTCCTCCTGTGACCCCAAAGCTCAGTATATAGCAACCTTTTGCCCGCTATATACTGAGAGCGCCCCCAACAATGCTTTGAGATTCTTTCTCACAGGTCGGCTCTAACTATGAGGATGAGTGGAAATCACTCACCCCATAGTTCTTATTTAAAGGCTAAAGCTGGGCATACACCTGTAGATTACCTGCAGATTTTTTATGGTCAGATGGAAAAAATGAAACAGATTCCTCCATCTACGCTAAACTGTGTGGATGAACGAATCTCCAAATGGGCCAAGCCTCAGTATCTTGCTGGTCGGCCCCGCTGACTCTCAAAACAATGCCTGCATCCAATCAGATTGTTCAGGTATTTTAACATCTTCCATTTATAGATCCTTTGACAGGATTTGTGAATGGAGGAACTACAAGTCCCATCATCCACTGCAGAAGAGGGAAGGTAGTTCTCAATGGAATACAAGTGCGGTGACATCTCCATCACTTGTAGTCCATTCATTATTCTTCCCGTCCGTGTTACTGAATGTCCGTACCTAGGTATGGACATGTATGAGAGGAACAGTCTACAGGAGCCCCAGAGCAATGCTTTTCTGGCACCTATGCAAAAAATAATAAATGCACATTTGTTTTCTTTTGTGAAGAAGTGTGCAAAAACTGGAATTTCCCTTTATTACTCAGCTGGCCTTAGTAAACTTTGGTCATGATGTCAGATGCAGTCTGAAGATCTTTATATGCCAGGTTTCTTTTCAACCCGATCCAACAAGCACCTGATTTATGAAGACCGGAGAAAAGAATAATGTACAGTATCTGTTGCCCATAAAAACCGATCACATTTAGGGCCAGTGCCGACAGGCTTTGGGCTTATGTAGATGGCATTAATTTTGATATCAGCTTGAAGCACTTCTGAGATCATTGACAGGTGCATTTGACCTGCAGTTGACCTCCTTCTGACCTGCATTTGGCCTGTCTTTGGGAATGCAAAACCTGCTTAACAAGAATAAAAAAGGCTGTCAACAAGCTCTTGTTTTCTCGATTACTTGAAAAAAATGAAATTTGGGGATGAGTGTTTTCCACTCACCCCATAATTCTCTTTTAAAAACTAGAGATATATTAAAGTGTATCCTGGATAGATTGTGGAAGGGGTAGAACCCCTGTCAGGTTTTTAGTACTGTGTATGTCCCTGTTAGGGGTAAGCACACTAAATTCCTATCCAGGAACTAAGTGTGAGATTTTAAAAGCTGTGTTTTTTCCCAAAAGGGGAGATTTCACCTCCTTTCCGGTATTGTTTGACATACAATCTCAACAGAAACAGTCAGTATTTAAAATTTAGTCAGTATTGAAGACTTTATAACACTTCTAACACAATGAATAACCACCATGACATGTTGTAAAGTGATAGATAAGCAATACAGCAGAGATAAAACAATAATTTAATATCCATATTGTTTTTAAACAGGTGTGCCTAGTGACCAAAGCAGTGGTACATCATCCCCTCTGTGTGACAGTGGGTTACATCTAAACTATCACCCAAACAACACGGTATGTCTTTGTATTTTTTAAGCTGATAGAACATCAAAATATGTTAAAATGTTATACTTTGAATATAATAACAACAATTTGCATAATAAAAAATTATGTTGCTTAGTGATGAGGTTAGGCTTGGTGTAAACTCAATTCACCTAAGCCCAATCAAAACTCTGACTGCCACCCCCTCCTCCATAAGGGAGGGACAGTTTGCAGGAGCCAGAGCATTGCATCCGTGATCTACTGATCAAAGTTGCAATTCTTTACTGGCTCCTATACAGAAAAATATAATAATCACAGATTTCTCTTCTGTTCATTGAAGGACACAGTGAAGATCTTCATCTCTTACTGATTGGTTATACTGGCACCTGCAGGAGTAGGACGCTAGGTACAATAAACAAAACTCAGCCTAGGGGCAGCCCTTTCTGGTGGCCAAACCCCCCATCTCCTAGAGGGAGCTCAGTTTTTTGCCTCGTTTTAAAGCATGTGGACCTAGTTTGCTTACGGGGAACTTAGTTCTCCATGTTTTCTTTTCTTTCTTTTTTTTCCAACACTTGCTTGGTTGCAGGTTTTGGCCATACAGTCTTACAGGCAGCTGTTGGTTTTGGAGGGGTCTTTTAGGTTGTTCCTGGTTTTCCCACCCCTCAGTTGTCATTGCTTTGGGCCGTTCCAGCAGTAAGAGATGAAGCTCTTCACTGTGTCCCTTAATGAATGGAAGATAAAATAGGATTTTTTTGTACTTTTGTGCCGTGAAATCCTTTTCTCTGCGTTCATTAGAGGACACAGCATCCACCCTTCTATTAGTGTTCATGTCTGTGTTTCTACTGCTTTGTGAATAACTGAGCTACCTCTAGCAAATGGGGGGTTTGGCCACCAGCAGGGGCCGCCCCTAGGCTGAGCATTGTTTGTTGTACCTAGTGTTCTACTTCTGCAGGTGGCAGTATAACCCATCAGTAAGAGATGAAGATCTTCACTGTGTCCTTCAATGAACGCAGAGAAAAGGATTTTATGGTGAGTACAAAAAATCCTTTTTTTTTTATAAAGAGGTGACCATTTATTATTATTCATTTATTTATTTATTTTGCACCAGGTGGAATTGTTCTTTATTTCTCCCTCCATCCACAGTCACAGCATTATGTTTACTGCTGATTTGTTGGCGCACTTAAAATATTGATGACATATTTTCTTCAAGTCTAAATTTTGTTTCTTATTTTCAGCAAATCCATTGCCACTGCTGTCTTTGTATCTGTCACCACTAAAACATTTCTTTTTTAATGTTTTGTCAGTGAGTAATTGAAAGCCTTGACTAAGGAATGTTTAGGGTGAGCAAGTGACACAGCCAAGCTCTATAGTATGCATCTGTTGCTGTGGAAACATAGTGGACAAATGGTGTTAAAGATTTATATTTCATAAGATATAATACCATATATTATATTAAGACAAACAGCCTCTTCTTTTTTTGTGTAGTTATGCACTCTTCACAGCTGCCTGTTTTAAAAATAACATTACTAACACAATGTTTATTTCAAAGAGTATCCTTGAATAGGTTTTCTATCAGTGTATCCTATATAAAATGACCAATTTTAAGACAGTTAAAGTAGAACTAAGAGCAAAATAAAAATACAAACATGGTAAAGGCTACCAATGCCTATATCCCAGCAGTCCCCATAACACAGTTGTATTACCTGTTGATCCTGCAAGTAGAGCCTCTGTTTTTTTACTTCTTTAATAGGCCAAAAGCTGCAGCCGGCAGGGTTGGGACAAACAATGTAACAGACCATTTTACTGACCATGCTAAGTATGGTCAGTAAAAAACCTTTATCCTGAAAGAAAAATAAACCGTTGCTGTAGAAAGTGTTAGCTAGAGTAAGGTTGTAAATTATGTGTTGATTACTTAAAGTCCATCTAAAACTACAAGTCCATATTAGACTACTCTGTCCACAGGTGGCTTCTTGACTCCCATGAAATCCAACTATTCTAAGCATCGCAAAATGGATGAATCTTAAAAGTATCTTATGCACCTAGAAGACAACCCATAGTGTGATATACTGTATACCAAACAGAAATGGTCAGATCTAGAGGTGAGAGCAGACCAATCCTGGGCATCAGTGAAGCAAACTTGTTCTCATTACAGTTTTACTTAAAGTGGCACTAAACTCAGAAATTAAATCTTAAAAATGCATTCTGTTACCATAACTATTATGTTACGGCTGGCTCCAGCCACTTGCAGAGAGATCAGCGTCCCTGGTTACCAGCTAACCAGGGACACTGATCTCCAGACAGCAAACTCTCCTCGGCGCTCTGGGAGTCTCCCGCTCCCGGCCGCCAAGGAGAGAAACACTGCTTTTTCTTTTTGTTCTTTATTCTGATACGGAACCGTGTCAGAATAGAAAAAAAATAAAAATAAAACATTTTTGGCTTGGGCGGAGCTAGCTGTCACTGCTAGCTCCGCACAATCGTTTTCTATTTATTTTTTTCTACTTTTTAAACTATTTTTCTGTTCTGCTCGGTACTACAGAGGGACCGAGCAGAACAGCCGAGCCGAATGCCACTCAGTGGCATTCCCCTATTCACTCACTGCTGTTCGGCATCTATAAGAATAGACCGAACAGCAGCGAGTAGCCTGCCGGAGGTTCAGCTTAGCCGATCCACATGTTAGATCGGCTGAGTCGAACTCCTTCTGCACTTCGGGTCGGCCGAACATGTTGAGCATGTTCGACCGACCCGAAGCCACCCGAAATCAGCCGTACCAGCCTGAAGTGAGTAGCCGAACAGCGTTCGACTCACCTCGCTTTAGGTCGGTCATTCACTCGGCTGCCTACGGCAGCTTAGTGAATAGACCCCCTAGTATTTTGAGGACAGGTTACGCGAATATGTTTCAGGACACTAGAATGTGTGTACTACAATTTAAACCATTTTCAAGCTACTATTAACAAAAATAAAATTATAGTGGAGAAGATATTGTTTGAAAAAATGTTCATGGAAAACTGGGGAATATAATAAAGGAAATAATTGCAAACAACCATTGGGATTAGAGATGAAGAAAATTGTAAAAATCCATTTCACCCCTGGTTGCATGCAGCGAATTGGGGGCGATCGAGGTCAATTCCCAAACCATTTAAATATTTTCTTTTTACAACCTTTAGCTGAACCTAAGAAAACATGTATTGATCCTTCCAATCAGAACTGCAGTATTTATTATATTTTAGCTTAATCCCAATATTCATCAATATATTAGCATAACAATTAAAACATTTAGAAGGGTCCTTTTAAGATGAGTTTATCTTAGCTTGAATAATCCTTTGTTATCAGCCTTGTTTGGTTGTGGCAAGTGAAATTGCCCAGATTTTATTTAGATATTTTCTAAATATAAAATTAAATTCAGAATGCATAGATGTGTTTTTTGATAGCATTAGTAGCAGCAGCTAGTAGGCAGAGGCTCAGCAGTGATGGATCTTCAGAAATATTTTTTCTTGAAACCACACTGTAGGTATACTGCTGCATTTAGCAGAAATGTGACACACAACTGACTGATATTTTGGAGGTGACAACCTTCACCAACAAGTTAAAATTGCCTTCTCTTGTAAACTGGCAGATCAGGCACAGTTGCAAAATAAAAAAAAAAATGGATAAAAAACAGAGGATAGGGAGGAAACCTGTGCTAAATGTCTCTTTCTGTATAGTAGGGGAAATACTCCACTACACTACCAACTGCTATGTGATGATGACACTCTCAGCCTTACCCTGCCCATAGGTGTTCCAGCTCGCGGTACAACAATCTAAGTGCCAGCAGACTGAACGTGATCGTCACTGGGGTCAGTTAACTCGGTAGTGAACCTTTTACCGACTTAAGCAACAGCTGCCACCATGTGTTTTAACGAAAACACGCATTGGCCATTATATCTGATATAACAGTTCTGACCTTTAGGAAATATCTGTGACACCTGCTGTCATCCAGACAAGAAGTAACAGTTTTAAATAAGGTGAACATATGGGGAAATATGATTCTCTTTATGAAATTAGAGAGAATCAGCATAAGGATTTTAAGATCTTGTTTTAATTAAAGGAAACATAAATTGTGCAGAGTCCAATTAACTGCAGCGTAAGTCTAAATCTGAGTCACTGGTTGTTTTAGTGTGGGGATTATTTGGAATGTGTTTGACTGTTCTGCTGTTACAGATCTTCCTTCACTTCCGATCTGCTGAAAAAAAGGTTTTGGCTGGGCACGCACGTTACCGCTTATGAACATAGACTGAAAAAACACAGCTTTTAGATTTGTACAGCATTTGTTGTCCCTTTGAACACAGCTATATAATAGCCGATGTGTCCATGTGCATTGTGGGATTTAGATAATCTAAAATGCCCCAAACCTGTGCTTGGGAGGAGCATACTGGTGTAATTTTTGAGCATAAATGCGTGCAAACACATGCCTATGGGTGTACACACATAAATTAATTATATTGGGGCTGAAATAAATTAATGAAATATTAAAATCATATTGCCTTAAGCTATTTCAGATACTGAATAAATCACTTACAATGGATGCTGCTTCTCTATGTTTAAATGTTTTAGTTTATTGCAGAATCAGCTGGCCCCATGAGCACTGGTCCTGATATCCTGTTTTAGGGTGGCTCATTTCCCTTGCAAGATCAACCTATTGTGTGTATCTCCTCAAATGGACATAGCAAGACAAGTCACTTCCTTGTTCCTTCTTCCTCCCTTTTTCCAAATTAGTAGATCGATAGCTAGAGATTCTGCTGTCCATTGTGATCTTGTACTAGACAGGAATTTCGGGAAGCCAAGCTTAGAGAGTCAGAGTCAGCTGTTCTGAAACATAGTAACTGTAAATTAGTGGGCATACATGTAAATAAATACTTTGCTGGGCAATGTGTATTTGTTCGATCTGGATTTAATATTGAAAAAAGTTACTTCACAGTTGCACCTACGCTTCTATATGCTATATGCACATAAATGCAAGTACTTTACACGCCATTATATGCATTTTTTTCACACTG